TCAGAACAAGTATAAGGAGGCTGCCCACCTACTCAATGATGCTCTGGCCATCCGGGAGAAAACCCTGGGCAAGGACCACCCAGCCGTGAGTGAGGGTTGGGTGGGAGGTGAGGGCTGTGCCCCATCCCCTGCAGGTCCCAGAGTCCTGCAGGGCCTGGGTCAAGGAGCTTCCATTCTCCCACCTCCAGGTGGCTGCGACACTAAACAACCTGGCGGTCCTGTATGGCAAGAGGGGCAAGTACAAGGAGGCTGAGCCGTTGTGCAAGCGGGCACTGGAGATCCGAGAGAAGGTGGGAGCAGGCAGGGCTGGGCAGGCCAGGGGTCTGGGAGGCAGGGGCCCGGGCAGCCCTGAACCCAACCCCTGGCTTCCTCTCCCATCCCAGGTGCTAGGCAAGTTTCACCCAGATGTGGCCAAGCAGCTCAGCAACCTGGCCCTGCTGTGCCAGAACCAGGGCAAAGCCGAGGAGGTGGAATACTACTATCGGCGGGCGCTGGAGATCTATGCTACACGCCTCGGGCCCGATGACCCCAATGTAGCCAAGACCAAGAACAACCTGGTGCCTTGAGGCTGGAAGGGGCTGGAGGATGGAAAGGAGGGAGGCAGGGATGACGCTGGGGAAGAAGGAGAGAAAAAGGCTTGGCTCCATGCATCCTGTTCACTCTCTGGGTCTCCCACTTCCAGGCTTCCTGCTACCTGAAGCAGGGCAAGTACCAGGATGCAGAGACCCTGTACAAGGAGATCCTCACCCGCGCTCATGAGAAAGAGTTTGGCTCTGTCAATGGTGAGTGTGTGGTTGCCATGTGCCTCTGGTCAATCCATCCCAGGCCCACTCTGCCATCAGCACCCAGGACAGATCCCTCAGCTGGGCAGGCTGTCAGACTTTGGCCTGGCTGGTCCCCAGCTTCACCCCTAGATGGTGCCCAGCCACCTGTGCTCACGTTTGCACATGTGAGCATACACCCAACTCATGCAGCCCCCTTGGCCTGCCAGTGCCTCACACACCTTTGCATCCCCCTTCTTCACTGGCAACTCCTGCTCACCTCATCTCCCGCTCTGAGAAACTACCTCCGGCCCCGGATGGTCAGTTGTCATCTGCTCCTGAGTCCCTCGGAGCCTGGCCCATCATTCAGGCCTAGCACATGTCTTGGGCTGTGGCCTGAGGTGTAAGGGTCTGTTCTGCTCATCTCTTTGTCCAGAAGAGGGTCAGTAGTGTTTTGGGTCTTATTCTTGTTCATTCATTCAACAAAGCCCAACCCTGGTCTCCCCTCCCCTGACCCCAGTCCTGTGTCCAGCCCAACCAGGTGAGGCCTATATGGTAGGCCGCTGACAGTCTCCTTTCTCTCCCCAGGGGACAACAAGCCCATTTGGATGCACGCAGAGGAGCGGGAGGAAAGCAAGGTAGCTCTGTGGGGCAGGTTGGGTGGTTGTCAGGGGAGGCGGGGATGTGCAGAACGGGGCCTGCTCTCACTTAGTGTGACCATTCTTTTTCCAGGATAAGCGCCGGGACAGCGCCCCCTATGGGGAATATGGCAGCTGGTACAAGGCCTGTAAAGTAGACAGGTGAGGGGGGCGGGGCGGGGCGGGGCTGGGGAGCAGAGCATGGCAGGACAGTCTCCACATTCCATACTCTAACTCCTAACACACCCCTCTTCTGCCGCTCATCTGGCAAGGCCCAGCTCACAGGTCACCTGTCCCAAGAAGGCTCTGTCTCCTAATTCTCAGCCTAATTATCTTGCTCCGGGTCTCCCAGCTTTCGGTCCTGGTGACAACATCCCATGAGGGCCCTGGGGCCAGGTCCCTAGCCCTGGCGTGATTCCCCCAGGGCAGAAGAGGCTGGGTGGGCCCAGCACAGGGCTTGACATGGGAGGGAATGGATTCTGGCTACCCCAGAGGTCCCTATTTCCTCAGGGCCCCCTATAGGCTGGGTGCCAGGACGGGCCCTGGGTCTGGGGGAACATGGAGTTTGAGACTGTCCCATCCACAGCCCCACAGTCAACACCACCCTGCGCAGCTTGGGGGCCCTATACCGACGCCAGGGCAAGCTGGAAGCCGCACACACACTGGAGGACTGTGCCAGTCGCAACCGCAAGCAGGTGGGGCTCCATGCAGGAGGGGGTGGGCAGACACCTGTGTGGTCCTGAGTGTGGCCCAGTCACGGCCTGATGCCCCTGCCCCTCCCTGATGCCCCTGCCCCTCCCTCAGGGTTTGGACCCCGCAAGCCAGACCAAGGTGGTGGAACTGCTGAAAGATGGCAGTGGCGGGCGGGGAGACCGCCGTGGCAGCCGAGACGTGGCCGGGGGTGCCGGGCCCCGGTCTGAGTCTGACCTCGAGGATGCAGGACCTACAGCTGAGTGGAGTGGGGTGAGTCCAGGGGCTGGGGCCGGGCCGGGAGCCTAGGTGGCCAGTGGGGCCTAGAGGTGAGCCTGTCCACCCGCAGGATGGCAGTGGCTCCTTGCGGCGCAGCGGCTCCTTTGGGAAGCTCCGAGACGCCCTGAGGCGCAGCAGTGAGATGCTAGTAAAGAAGCTGCAGGGGGGCGGCCCCCAGGAGCCCCCTAACCCCAGGTGAGCCCCCCACCAAGGTGAGCCTCAGGAACCACCCAGCAACCCCGGATGAGCTCCTGACCCATGAGTGTGCCCCACTGACCCCAGGCAACCTCCCCATCCCTCTCAGGCTCCACCACCCACCAGTCTGCTCCCTCCCCAGCCCCACCCTGCTCCCTGCCCCCATCTCCCCTGAGTTCCTCCTTGGGCAAATACCACGCTGTCCTTTTCCCTCAGGATGAAGCGAGCCAGTTCCCTCAACTTCCTCAACAAGAGCATGGAAGAGCCGACCCAGGTAGGGGCAAGCGGGTGTCCGGGCACTGGGCGGCTGTGGCCGGGGCTGCATGTGCGCTGCCAAGCTTCCCTCCAGCATGCCTCTTCATCCGACATGGGAGGGAATGGATTCTATCCCAGGCCTACTTTGGGCTGGACAAAGGGGAGACACAGGGGGGGAACCCAGTCTCTCCTGGGGGTGGATGTGTAAATGGCCAGTGCCAACACAGTCACCGTGGAGATGGGCGGGAGTGTCAGGGCACCAGGGCGTGGCCTTGGGCCGGAACTGCCACTGCCTCTGCCCAGCTCAGGGACTCCGGCTGCCTCTGCCGGGTCAGGCCCCTTCAGGCCAGGGAGGCACAGACTGGCAGCAGCACAGGGCTGAGCCACCTGCCCCCTCTGCCCACAGCCTGGAGGCACAGGTCTCTCTGACAGCCGCACTCTCAGCTCCAGCTCCATGGACCTCTCCCGACGAAGCTCCCTGGTGGGCTAATGCTGAAGGGGCAGCCAGTCACCAGAGCGCCCACCTGGCACACCCCCCTCACCCCAGCCCTGCGCATGGGCCTGCTGCTTGTCCCGCCTGTCTCTCCCACAGCCCCTGTCTTTTCTGTTCAATCTCAGGGTAACCTTCTCCCTTGTCATCTCAGCCTGAGCCCTGGAGGCTGGGCCTGCCCACTCCAGCTCGATCCCTTATTTATTCCTTCCAGCAGGGCCCTCTTCCTTAGGTTCGGGGCCAGCAGGAGGTGCCGGCTGGAGTCTCCACCATAGACTCAGTGGCCTGGCCTCCCCAGACCCCAGAGCCAAGAACACTAAGCACTCGCCGGCCCTTCGGCACCTTCGCCCTCCCTCCCAACTCAACCCGGCCGTTGCTTCTGTATATAGAGAAATAAGTTATTGGCCGCGCCCCACCCTTCAGTCCACGGTACTACCCGGGCCTCCCCTCGTCCCTCCTCTAGTGGTACCGCCCAGGCCTTAATCACCCCCATTCCGTGCGGTGGTATCTCCCAGGCTCCACATTCTCGGGAGTGGCGCCTCCCAAGTGGCTCCCGGGACCTTCTCGCGCTCCTCCTGGCCTCTGAGGGATGCGTCCTACCCCGCCATCGCCCCGTGCCCCAGGACGGGGACCTCCCCTTAGTCAGTCCTCCCACCGCCGGGCCCTGCCCCGCATCCCGGCCTTATGCACTGCCCCTCCCGCCCGGCCCCG